ACTGGAGAGGAGGGGGAAGGAGTTTTTGAAAGGCCAGGGCAGGAAAAAACACCCCACTAGACAGACAAACAAAAGAAAAAATAATATATGCGTCTTCTAAGGGAAGGGTCAAGCCCTCTACTCTCAAAATATTCAGAAAATGACGAGGAGAGACACCTCAAGTCTGGAAGGTGACCTCCAGGGGGCGCTGGCTGGCCTCAGCGGAGGCAAGCATTAGTACACATGCACACACGTGCACAGCTACAGTCCCCCTGTATTCGCACTTGCTTGCGCTCGTGCTGTCTCTCAATCTCTGTGTCTGTCTGTCTCTCTGTCTCTGTGTCTCTCTCCTGGTCCTGGGGCTTGAAGTCAGGACCTGGGCACTGTCTCTGAGCTTTTATACTCACACTCTTGCAATTTGAACCACAACACCATTTCCCTCTTTATAGTAGTTAAGTGGAGATAAGAGCCTCATGAACTTTCCTGCCTGGGCTGGCTTTGAACCATGATCCTCCTGAGGAACTAGGATTCTAGGTGTGAGCCAGCGGCTTGCTCTTTTACAGATTGGTTCTCAGTGGCCCTGGATACTCCTCATCACGGCCAGGGGCTGGGGATGGGATGAGCCAGGGGCGGGGGAGGGAGGACAGACTGCCCTTTGGAGAAGAAGGAAGAGGTGCATCTGCTCAGGGAGGTGCAGGGCCCAGCCACCGCCAGCACCACAGCAACAAGGGGCCTCTCTCTCCCCTGGCCAGAAGGTGCTGGAGCTCTGCCTGGTGGCCACATCTATCTCCAAATTAACTTAAACCAAACTGGGATGGGTCAGAGCTTAAGGCCCAGACACTGCAGACCACCCACCCAGCCGGTGAGCAGGTGCAGCCCTGAGACAGTGGCTCAGCTTGGGTTCTCTGTGGAGAATCAAGAAGAGGCGTGACTGCGGAGCGAGGGCACCTGGGGGTACACGCCTGACCAAGTGCCTGGCACGGAGGAAAGGTCCATCAGCACCACATGGTATTGTTATTGTTGTTGTTGTATGTTTCTTTAACTAGGAGGCATTATATTGCCATTAAAAATATCTAAGGGCTGGGAATGTGGCTCAGTGGTAGAGTGCTTGCCTAGCTTGCATGAAGCCCTAGGTTTGATTCCTCAGTACCATATACACAGAAAAAGCTGGAAGTGGTGCTGTGGCTCAAGTGGTAGAGCACTAGCCTTGCAGCTCAGGGACAGTGCCCAGGACCCAGGACTGGTAAAATAAATAAACATCATAAGCTGGTAAGAGTATCGCTATTTTGTAGAGAGGATTTGCAGGACCAGAGAGGTGGAGCAACTTTTCCTGACCTCAGACCCTGTGTTATTAGGCAAGCTGGGGGGCAGCTGACTGGGGCCGCTGATCTCGCTGGAACTCAGGGCGGCCTGACCATCAGGGGGGTCACAGGTTGGTGCCTTTCCCCAGCCAGAGCTCTGCCAGGCCTCATCTGAGGGGTGGGAAGGGCGGCCGGGGAGGAGGGATGGGGGCCATGCACCCGGTAAGCACCCCGTGAGAAGATGGGACCATTCACTCACTCTCCCGGCTGTATTTCCCCAGGGCTGCTGAAGGAACCTGCTCAGAAATGAGGCCGTTTCTTTCCTGCGCTCACTAAGCCTGGGTGCCAGGAACCTCCACCCCTACAATGGAAGAGAGACCGAAGAGAAAAGAGGGAGAAAAGTAAGGGGGGAGATGTGCTGCGTCTTAGGGAAGCCTGTCTCCTTCAGATGATTAAAAAGATGTTGTCAGAATTCTCTCAGCTCTGGAGCCTTTGAGGCAAGGCTCGGGAAGAGGGAAAAACAACATTAAAAAAAAAAAAAAACTAAGCTATTAGCTGGCAACAGATTCGTCCAAAGAGACAGCTGGAATTCCAGCCACACTCGTGATTCCAGAAGACAGGGCGCTGTGTGGGTCTGCTACCATCTTACTATGATTACTGTTATCTCTGTTACCAACACTGTCATTCCTACTGATCCTTCCACCCTAACTGCTGTGGGGAAAGAAGGAAAACAGAGGAGAAAGTCAGCTCCGGGGGAGGAGGTGGAAGGGAAGGGTTAGGAAAGTGGATGACAGAAGAGAGACGCGGCGTGCCCCCCAAGCCCCCAGCTTCCCGGGGAAGGGGCCGGGTCCCCGGGGGCAAGCGGCGCGGGGCGGCCCGGGCCGGGC